ACACCTAGCATCGTTACTTGTCATGTCATGCATCGATATGCATTTGTTTGCATTGTATTCATTGTTTCTTCTCCCTCTTCTCTCCGGTAGACTACGAGACCGACGCTGCTGCTGCCCAGTTCGACTACGGAGTTGACGACCCCTCTCTCTTGCCAGAGCAACCAGGCAAGCCCCCCCTTTGATCACCAGATATCGCCTATTCTCCTCTATACTGCTTGCATTAGAGTAGTGTAGCATGTTACTGCTTTCATTAATCCTATTCTGATGCATAGCCTGACATTGTCGCTACATCTGTTGATACCTTACCTGCAATCCTAAATGCTTAGTATAGGATGCTAGTTTATCATCATTGGCCCTACATTCTTGTCAGTCTGCCTTGCTATACTATCGGGCCGTGATCACTTGGGAGGTGATCACGGGTATATTCTATACATACATACATACTATACAGATGGTGACTAAAGTCGGGTCAGCTCATTGAGTACCCGCAAGTGATTCTGACGAGGGGGCTGAAAGGACAGGTGGCTCCATCCCGGTAGAGGTGGGCCTGAGTTCCCGACGGCCCTCGACTGTTACTTTGTGGTGGAGCGACAAGGCAGGTTGAGACCACCTAGGAGACAGGTGGGCCTGGCCCTGTTCGGCGTTCGCGGATACTTAACACGCTTAACGAGATCTTGGTATTTGATCTGAGTCTGGCTACGAGCCTATACGCACTAACCATCTACGGGGGAGTAGTTATGGGTATCCCGACGTCGTGGTATCAGCCGAAGCACTTCAGACGTCAGCGACGGAGCGGCGCGCGCAGAATTGGACTGGAACGCCACTAGGCTAGGTCTGCTTTCGGCCGCCCTCGCAACGTGCAGGTGTGCTATGGGCGATGGGCCCAGACCCCTGTGCGCTTAGGTTTAGACCGGCGTGCTGGCCTCTCTGTTTTGCCTAGGTGGGGCTGCGACGTGTTGATCTTCCGCGGCCGGGCATGACCCCGGAAAGTGTGTCCGGCCAAATGGGATCGAGCGTGTTGGGCTATGTGGTGCACCCCTGCAGGGAAGTTTAATCTATTCGAATAGCCATGATCTTCGGTAACAGGACGACTTGGAGTTGTACCTTGACCTTATGACAACTAGAACCGGATACTTAATAAAACACACCATTCCAAGTTCCACAGACAACCCGGTGATCGCTTTTCCGCAGGGCGACGAGGAGAGGATCGCCGGGTAGGATTATGCTATGCGATGCTACTGGAGATGCTGCTTGGAGCTGCTACTTGGAGATGCTACTTGGAGGACTACAATCTACTCTCTTCTATATGCTGCAAGACGGAGGCTACCAGAAGCGTAGTCTTCGACAGGATTAGCTATCCCCCTCTTATTCTGGCATTCTGCAGTTCAGTCCACCGATATGGCCTCCCTACACATATACCCATGCATATGTAGTGTAGTTCCTTGCTTGCGAGTACTTTGGATGAGTACTCACGGTTGCTTTCTCCCCCCTTTTTCCCCTTTTCCTTCCTTCCTGGTTGTCGCAACCAGATGCTGGAGTCCAGGAGCCAGACGCCACCGTCGACGACGACCCCTACTACACCGGAGGTGCCTACTACTACGTGCTGCCCGCTGATGACGACCAGGAGTGACCTAGGAGGATCCCAGGCAGGAGGCCTGCTCCTCTTTCGATCTGTATCCCAGTTTGTGCTAGCCATCTTATGGCACCCTGTTTAACTTATGTCTGTACTCAGATATTGTTGCTTCCGCTGACTCGTCTATGATCGAGCACTTGTATTCGAGCCCTCGAGGCCCCTGGCTTGTATTATGATGCTTGTATGACTTATTTTATTTGTAGAGTTGTGTTGTGATATCTTCCCGTGAGTCCCTGATTTTGATCGTACACATTTGCGTGCATGATTAGTGTACGATTAAATCGGGGGCGTCACACCGGGGCACAACAAATTCTGGTAAAGTATCAGGAAGAACACCTTCATAGCAAGGTTAACAGTCACATAATCATCTTCCTCCACCAACACCTTCAACTTCTCAAGCAAGTCCTTGACACCTATACTTTTTGAACGGTCAAAGCCAAGCTCATCCTTGAGGGCAGTGAACGATTCATCATGACCGCTGGAAGCAGGCATGGATGAAGTGTGACGTCCCATAGGTAAATGAAAAATGTGATGAACTGCATCACGATTGATTCGAAGAACCCTGCCATTTCCAAAGTCCATTACCATGGTGGCAGGGTCAATCACTCCCATCAGATAGCACATAAGAATGCGTGACACATTTTTCTTTACTGTCAGATCAAAGACAACACCAAATCCAGCATCCCTAACATGGCTACAATGCGCCTCTTTTAACAAAGAAGCAGCCTTGCAAATAGTGGGAAGAGACAACCGTATGGTCTTGTTAAATCGAGAATCATCTCCCTCAGCATCATCTTCAGTTGCATTGCTCTTACTAGACTTCTTCCTCTGTGTAAAGGGAAATGCAGTCCACATTAGAAGACTAGCCATAAAAAAGAGACATAGAAAACACAGAAAGAATAACAATAAAGGAAACAAATGCAGTGCACTTCAACAAACCTTTGGAGCAGCATCCACCTCCTCGCCAGAGTCACCACCAACATCTTCATTGACATCATCATGGGCACGTTTGGGTAGACTCTTAGATGAACCATAGTCTTTGTGTCTACAAGAGATGAACACCCTTCACATAATCAGCAAGCACAAAGTCGTCATCATCATAGTTGGGACCTTCAGTGACATGTAGTCGCTTGCGCTGAGGATCATCATTTCCACCAGCTTTAGCAGTTCTCTTGCCAAGATTCTTCTTCATTCCAGCAACATGTGGACTCCGCCGAGGTGTACCACCTTCCTCAGCAACAGTACTCAACCTCTTCTTCTGCAAAGAAGGCTGCTTCACCTTGCCAAATTTGCCACCCTTGGCACCATCTGTAGCTCTCCTCTGCTTCTCCTTCTCCGCAAACTCTTTTGACTCAATTTCAAACCTCAACTTCTTCTTGCTTTGCTTCAACTCATATTGACGAAGCTGTTCCGAGACCATCCAATCCTGTGTAACTTCCTCTGTACCATCAATAGACTGCGATTGTGTTTCAGACAAGACAGGACGTCTCTGATCAAAGCTCACACCAACATTACCCTCTGCAAAATAATGGTCAATCAATTGAGTAACCTCCTCAAACCCAGGCGCCCCAGCATGGAAAACAGACATTGATTAAAATGAAGTTTGACTATGCTCGTTAAAAAGTGCACAAAAAGAACAAATGGAGTACAGTTAGACATATAAATGTAGTGCTCCAACCATAAGCTCAAAATAAAAAATAATGCATTGTACAAAAAACTTGAATAAAACAACAATGCAGTTCACACATACATATAGTGGAGTTCACATATACAAATAAATGCAGTGCTGCATACACTAACTTCACGGTTGTTCCCAACAAAATGTCAGACTAGATAAAACAAGGGAACACCAATTTGTACAAACATCAAGCAACCAACATACTCAAAAATAAACAAATCAATCACATACCAGAAGGAGGGGCCACACTTATGGGAGAAGATTCAATCGGTGAATTCACTTGATGTCCTCCCTCGACACCATGATCCTTACCACCAGGACAAGGAGAGTCAATTGGTGTATCATTATGAGCACTGCAATCACCTACTGGATTAAAAAACAACCAGAAAACAGAAATTACAAAACATCACCTGACAAAATAATGCAAACAAACGCTGACAACTAGCAGAGCATAAACCAATATGCAGGATGAATTAAGAAACTAGATAAACATCAAACAAAATAAACAAAGCCTAAAATAAGCACTCCACATACCCTGAACTCCTCCCCCCACTCTGCTCGGCGAAGACATAGCGTTTGCCTGCAGCACAAGGACGAAGTGACAGATATAAGCAACAAAATCAGCGAAAATCTCACGAAACCCTATATCCACATTGCTACACACGACTATCGACTTCAAAATGAGATAAAATCGACTGCCTACGGAAAAATTACACAAGCAAAAAGAGCAACATCAACTACGAGAATCACAAAACAAGACGAGGGGACGATCAAGACCGAGGCCAAGTGGAACGTACCACATAAAAGGGTGCGGCGACGACGGCGGGAAGGGGATGCAGCGACGGGAACAAACGGGAAAGGGCTGCGGGACGCAGCGGCAAGGGCTCGCGGAGCGGAGAGTGACGCGGAATCTAGGAATAAGGACCTCTTGAGGGCGGCGGTTCCTCGGGAGACGGCGGTCGCTGCGGGCGACGACGGTTTTGCTCGCGGGAGAGATGCCTTGGGAGAAACTGCAAGAGAGGAGAGGGGATTGTTCTCGGTCTCTCTCCCTGTCAGCGGAGTGGTGGAATAGCCTGGAAGGGATACGTAGGAGGCCCACGTGTCGCAAAAAGGGTCACAAAAAATGGGCCGGCCCAAAAACGGCCCGGATAAAATAAGCCAGACTACATCAAAACGCACATATTACTCAAAAACAAAAAATAAATCAAAACGCACATGATGTAGTTCTCTATGAAGAATCATGAAGTTCAGACAGTAAAACAAAATAAAATACATACAGTTTGTAAAAAAAGTTAAAATAAAAAACAACACGCATGTTAAGAAAATGCATCCAAAAAAGTCTACCTTCAAATAAGTGCCACACCAAAAAAAGTGGGGGGGGACCCCCCCTCTTCCCCTACACCTCCCGTACAGTGTAGTAAGCACAGGCAAAAAACAAATGCAGTACACAGCACTAGAAAAATGCAGTGCATTTCGTTACGCGATGCATTACGCTATAGCAATCCAGTTCCGCATTACGTAGATGAATATATACACGGCATAGAACACAATGATGAAGAAAAACACGAACCCGGAAATAATAAATGCAGTGCAGAAGTATATGAATGTGCAATACAGAACCATAATCAATGCAGTACAATTGTAATTTACTAAGCAAAAAAAGATTACAAAAAAGCAAAAATACGGATACAAAAATGAGAACTGTACATGCAGTACAAAATTCGTTCACATGCAGTACATAACCCTCATCAATGCAGTGCATGCATGATTTACTAAAAGCAGTGCACGCCCCGACATTGGAAAAATTACAAAGAAAAAAAATTGACCACCCAGGTGCTACCGGCCCCAGCCAGACTTGTAATAGGTCTGTGCCCACAGAAGGCGAGTCGTTTTGAGTCACAATGCATGGGGCCGGCCACAAATGGGCCCACAGGTCAGAAAGCATAGAGTTGCGAGCGTCGTGTATAAGCGCCCAAATAAGTAACCAGAGGAGTTTGACCGGTATGTCTCGCCAGCGCTTATAAACAGGTCGAGCGCGCCTTCCGGCGACGAGGTGGGACTAAACATTAGAGCGCACACACAGCGCACCGGGAACCAGCCGTGCTCACAGGCCGACTTGGGCCCAAGCGCGTCTCTCCACTACCCGAACACAGGCCCAACAAGGCCGACTAAGAAAAAACAATAAGTTCAAAAAAAATGGGGGGGAGGGGCACCCCGCCTTCCCCTACCCCTCCCGTACTAGGGGCTGCAGTAAGTATAGGAAAAAAGAAGATGCAGTACGAGGCGGTAGAAATATGCAGTGCATTCCGTTACGCGATGCAGTTCATCGTAGCAATGCAGTGCAAATACGTAGCGGTAGAAAAAATGCAGTGCGTTACGTTACGCGATGCAGTGCGGTATGGCAATCCAGTTCCGGATTACCTACATGAATAAATGCACGACATAGAACACAACAAAAAACACCAAAGCCTATAGCAAAGACACGCAAAAAACGGTGAAATACACACATGTAGACACAAGTGCAGTTCTGGGTTATACGCGATGCAGTGCGGAAGTATAAGCAATGCAGTTCTGTTGTCATGCAGTATACATATATAAAACATGACAAAATGCCCGTTCGCACAGAAAAGTGGTGGTTAAAAAATATTTGCTGATAAAAAATAAAACAAAACCACGTTAAAAAAACTCACTTTCCCATACAACCACCCAATTGGAGCAGTTCCATCGCCACAAGCCCACGATCACAGATGCAACATCAACCCACGATCTGCACAACCGCATCGTCAGCGTGATCGTGCAGTTCATCCGACGCGGCCATCCCACCCCGCGCCCTCCCCTTAAATTCAGACCCCTGCCAAAGGCCTTCGCATCCACAACAACACAAGTATCCATTGCGCTGCCACCAAATCACTCCATATCCACGCAAAAGCACCAAGCCCTGCTACCGGCGATGGCGTTCACCGATGAGTACAAGGGCGACAAGGCTGTGGAGGCTCACGACAACACCAAGTTGCACATCATCCATACCAACGACAAGAAGTAGATGGCGATCTCCCTCGCGCAGTACGAGCGCCACCTCAGCCTCCAGCGCCACAAGATCGTCGGCATTGATCTCGAGTATGACAACGAGCCTGAAGAACGTAGAAACCCGCCCTCTGCCAGCTCTCCATCAACAAGAATCACCCGATGCTGCTCTTCCAAATGAGCGCCTCTGAAAGGTGCACCGTCTTCGACAACTTCCTCGCCGACCCTAGGTACACCTTTGCAGACTTCTCCATCGACGATGACAAAACCAGCCTAGAGCGCGTCAAACTGGAGGTCGCCAACTTCATCGACATCCAGAAGGAGTGGAGGGTGCCCAAGGCAACCAAGGCGTTGGACTCCCTTGGAGACGTCTCTGGCATGCTCATCAACGACTACTACAACAACATGAAGAAGAAGATCACCGACGACGAGCACAAGCACTGGGCCGCCTTGCCTCTGTCCATGAGGCACATTGAGTACGCAGCAAAGGACGCCTACGCAGCGTATGAGATATGGAACCGCATCACCCTCACCCAGGACGGCCTTCGCCGTGCAAAGCTGGAGAAGGAGGAGCCCCCCAAGAAGCGCGCCAGGAGCAGCTAGGGATGGGAAGAGCCTAACTAGTGAAGAAGAAGATGGTGCTGGTCAAGAGCCAACAATGCCAACGTCGTTTTAGAATTATCATCAAATTTGCTCTATGTTGTTTGCTTATGTATCGTTAGTTTGCTTGTGTGCTGAACTTAGTTTGCTTGCCATGCAGAATTGCTTGTAATGATGAACTTTGATTATGGTAGTTTGCTTTCTGTTCAACTTAGTTTGCTGGTAATGAAATTGTCGTACAGAATACCTGTCATAATTTGTTTTCTGTTGTCTGCTCATGTATCATTAGATTCGAGCAGTGCACAAAACAAAAGTAAGTTGCACTGTGCAAACAGGACGCATGCAGTGCAAATTGTGTATGAATGCAGTACAGACTATGTCGAATGAAGTTTTAACATAACCAACAAAGCAGTGCACGAACCTAAATTTGAAAAAAGAATACATAAGAGCAAAAACACAAAAAGAAAAACGCAAACACGTAAATAATCAATGAAGTGCAGAAATATATGAACGTGCTGTACAGAACCATAATCAATGCATTACGCGTATGATTTACTAAGCAGTGCACTCCCATAGATTGGAAAAAAGATTACATAATAGCAAAAACACGGAAACAAAAAATGAGAACTGTACATGCAGTACGGAATGCGTGTACATGCAGTACAGAACCCTGATCAATGCAGTGCACGCCCTGACATTGAAAAAACCCACCTAAAACAGAAAAATACAAAGAACAAAATTGACCACCCAGGTGCTACCGACCCCCAGCCAGTCTCATAATAGGTCTGCGCCCACAGAAGGCGAGTCGTTCGGAGTCACAATGCATGGGGCCGGCCACACATGGGCCCACAGGTCAGAGAGCATAGAGCTACGAGCGCCGTGTATAAGCGCCCAAATAAGTAACAAGAGGAGTTCGACCGATGTGCCTCGCCAGCGCTTATAAACAGGTCGGGCGCGCCTTCCGCGGGCGAGGTGGGACTAAACATTAGGACGCACACACAGCGCACCGGGAACCAGCCGTGCTCACAGGCCGACTTGGGCCCAAATGCGTCTTCACTACCCGAACACAAGGCCAACAAACAAAAGAGAGGCCACTGAAAATAAAAAAATCCCACATA